CCATAGTTGTTCATGCCATAGCGGAAACAGGCTTCCATACGCTATCAATGATAAGAGTTTTATAATAGCAAATATAGCTTAGCATTTTTCCACAGAATATCCAATCACTCTTTCCCCTAGATGAATAAATGCAGTTCACGTCCTGCATATATACACAGGTGTCTCAATATGTCTCTCAGTTCTGGAAAAAGAGTCTAGAGGTGAGACAGAGAGGGGACGTTTTATGTAAAGCTGCTTTGTTTTATGCAGGATCAGGGTAGTGCTCTGTGGGTCCTTCTGAATAATGCAGAGACAGGCTGAGCCCTCTGGTCTGTCATGGAAAGGCATGGGGGAATGTGATTAAAGATTTATATACTGGGCCACTGGAGAAAGTCCACCCTGTGGTCTGACTCGGCTCAGGTCCTTTGTACCACTGTCAGTAGGGTCATACATCTCCTATGAAGAAGAGAGGGGACAGGGGCCCTGAATAACACACATGTGAAGTGACCAATCGCATCAGAGCTTTTCACCAAGTGTCTGGGTCAAGAACGGTTCTGGTGTAGGTTTAGTTTAAAAGTGCACCAAGTCATTTTTTAATGCTAGTTTTAGCGTTTTGCCGAATATGATTAATATTAGAGCCTGACCGATAAAGGATTTTGAAGGCCGATACAAATAATTTTGGGTTTTAAAATCCGATATTCCGATATATCGGCCGATATTTATTTTTATTTTTTTTCAGAAACGCGCACACAACATTAACAGATTTCCCTAACATTAGTTATTTGTAGTTGTTTACGAATTTTAACTAAAATAATATGCTAATGCATTTTAATATGCTAATGCAGTTCTTTTATTGTCACAGCAGAACAGACTGATGGGAGTTGCATTAGCTAGCTTTGTGGTTAGCTAGTCTATGCCATAATTTAGTAATGGATAATGTCATACTGCAAATTGCACAAATTTTGTCATGCTTATTTGAGTTAAGAGAACTGATGGGGATGTTCTTTTAATTGCTATTCACGCAATATATGTATCGTGACGAACTCAACGATTGTTGTCTACAGGGTTGGTGTAGAGTGCCCTCTGGTGGACAAACTATACAACTCCAACTCTCATGACATGGTTCAAGCGTGTTTCGTCCGTTTTTATTTTATTTTTGAAATATTAATTTATCGGCCATTATAACTGCCGATACCGATAGTTTGGAAAATGCCCAATATCGGCCGATAATATCGGTCTGCCGATATATCGGTCTGGCTCTAATTAATATGATAAAATAATCGTATCAATGTCCTTCCAGTATGTCATAACAACAGGTTATTTTGTTGCAAATTAATATAGGCGAAAACTGGCATCGGTTATCAAAAATGTTTGTTTTAGCGTAATATTGCACCAATTGGTACCAAGACCATTGGTATATATATATATATATATATATATATATATATAAATACTGATTAAGCCATCAAAATATGAGGAAAATATTTTATTATGTTTACAAAAAAAATAAATATGAGGGAGGAACTACTCAGCACACCTAAAAAAGGCTCACATCACTTTGACCACTTTGATCACTTTTATATGACAAAAATTTAAGTTGTTTAACTAACCATCTTTGTATCTGTCATATATTTTTTTGTATCTCTTCTTTTTTGCTCTTTTTCTTAGGGATGCAAATGGCATTTTATGGCATTTATTTTGTTTAAATAAAATAAATGCTTAAAATCCTGACTGAAAATGTGACCAGAAACTAACAAAGTGACAAATGCACATAACAAAATGACTAAACCTCTGTAAAATTGAGGATAAAATAACACGGCCTTCGACGCTTTGTGATTGAAAAGTCAGTTAATATTTATTCTAGGGCTGTCAAACAATTAATCGCATCCAAAATAAAAGTTTGTGTTTACATAATATGCGTGGGTGCACTGTGTATAATTATTTTGTATATATATATATATATATATATATATAAATATAAATACACACACATGTGTGTATATTTAAGAAAAAAAATATGATTTATATATAAATTATTTATATATAATATAAATTATATAGAAATCTATATACATGAAAATATGTCTTCATATATTTATAAATATAAAATAATTATACACAGTGCACCCACATATATTATGTAAACACAAACTTTTATTTTGGATGTGATTAATCACAATTAATCGTTTGACAGCCCTAATTTATTATTATCTTATGCTATGGTCAGTATAATGTTTTTGTTTACCTTTTGCAGTGGATTGGGCAACAAACAGTAAAACTTGTAGTAGAAAGGTAAGGGATGAGTAAAGAAGTATTTTTCACTGAAGCTGGTGTCCCAGGCAAGTATTGCTAATAAAACTAGTTAAGAAGTCTAATGGGGAGTAAAATTGAACAGTAATGGGATTTTATCCTCTGAACCTCGCCGTCCTCGAGCTCCTCAGCCTCTAGTCCTTACGCAGCATATGCTGATGGATCTCTTAAAGTAACAATTTTTCACCTGTCGGTTGTGATTCTGGTCCAAGGCCGAGGACGCGTGACAGCGCTGCAGTCTGTTCCTCTCTCTCAGCCTCACATCCATCCAACGGACAGATTTAGGGCTGGGAACCATCCAGCACATCCTCTCAAAATAACACTCTGCCCTTTTCACACAAAGTCCTCTCCTCCCCGACCATTACTGAGGGCCCACCTCTGCAAACACACACACACACACGTAATGGAAACAATGGCTACGAGATACCTCTAGCGTAGAGATAAGGAGAGGGAGCGTGGTTTGGGAAGGTTAGATGCGATATCGATCAGTTCTCTCGGTCTGAGACTTTTTACCACGCTCGAGTAATTGAGGATGAAGCAGGCAGAGCATGGTGCGCTCACCGGCCGTATCGCCAGCTGTAGTGCGCTAATGGAAAGGCAGCTGCTCTTGTCAGGGCTTTCCTCCAAGTGTCCTTAACATATAATACTGAACAGTTGAGAAAGTCTCACACACACACATTACACCTTCCCTTGAACCAAATCCAATTTTTTTCCATCGAGCTAGGATTAGTTTCCCCCTAAAAATGAGAATTCATAATTAACTCCTCCTTATGTAGTTTCAAACCTCTGTGAATATGTCAAGCTCCAAAAATGACAAAATGCACAACATAAGAACCACAAAAACTGTTCGTATGTCTTTTCTGAAGCCCTTTTATACACTCACCTAAAGGATTATTAGGAACACCTTCTCATTAATGCAGTTATCTAATCAACCAATCAGTTGCTTCAATGCATTTAGGGGTGTGGTCCTGGTCAAGACGATCTCCTGAACTCCAAACTGAATGTCAGAATGGGAAAGAAAGGTGATTTAAGCGATTTTGAGCGTGGCCGGTCTGAGTATTTCACAATCTGCTCAGTTACTGGGATTTTCACGCACAACCATTTCTAGGGTTTACAAAGAATGGTGTGAAAAGGGAAAAACTGCAGTCCTGTGGGCGAAAATGCCTTGTTGATGCTCGAGGTCAGAGGAGAATGGGCCGACTGATTCAAGCTGATAGAAGAGCAACTTTGACTGAAATAACCACTCGTTACAACCGGGTATGCAGCAAAGCATTTGTGAAGAAGACACAACACACACATCCTTGAGGCGGATGGGCTACAACAGCAGAAGACCCCACCGGGTACCACTCATCTCCACTACAAATAGGAAAAAGAGGCAACAATATGCAAGAGCTCACCAAAATTGGACCGTTGAAGACTGGAAAAATGATGAGTCACGAGACATTCAGATGGTAGAGTCAGAATTTGGCGTAAACAGAATGAGAACATGGATCCATCATGCCTTGTTACCACTGTGCAGACTGGTGGTGGTGGTGTAATGGATGTTTTCTTGGCACACTTTAGGCCCCTTAGTGCCAATTGGGCAACGGCCTACCTGAGCATTATTTCTGCCCATGTCCATCCCTTATAGCCACCATGTCCCCATCCTCTGATGGCTATTCCAGCAGGATAATGCACCATGTCACAAAACTCCAATCATTTCAAATTGGTTTCTTGAACATGACGATGAGTTGACTGTCCTAAAACGGCCGCCACAGTCACCAGATCTCAACCCAATAGAGCATCTTGGGATGTGGTGGAGCCTGGATGTGCATCCCACAAATCTCCATCAACGGCAAGATGCTATCCTATCAATATGGGCAAACATTGCTTAAACCTAAGTCTATTCCTCAACAGAGCTGTCACACACCTGTTGAAGACCTGGAATAGCACAGTAGTTATTGACTACTTTGGTACTTTTATTATGATTTGATTCCATCCATCTCCTTTCACTTTCCTGTATGTAAAAGAAGAGAATAAATATTCTGTCCTGGATTTGTGCCCCACAGAAGAAAGCATGTCACATGACATTTGAACGACATGAGTGTGAGAAAATTATTCCTCATTTTTGGGTGAACTCCCCTCAGGACCAGATATGCCGAGCAACATGCTTATTTGATAAAAGAAAATTGTTCTTTTCAGAGTCACCATGAGCCTAGAGCCAGAGCCAAAATGGCCGTGTGTGAGAATTGAATCAGAATTGAACTGACACCGAATTAACAGACGGATTCTGAGGAATGTTAAACAGAGGAGGCGACCGTGTCAAATCTTCGAAGTAGGAAAAAGACATACAGTATCTAGTGACATTAATCTTGTCTCTGTGATTGAGCATTCATGAGCTGTTGGGAATAATCATCCATCTTTAGGTAATTTACACTTTGCCCTTATCAAACGTCAGATACAAATAATCCAAGCCCATGCCCTGACCGTCCTGCCATTTTTAACTCTCAAAACTGGCATACTTGATCACCGAACCGACAGACAATCCATTGTGGATGGCGATGGCGTTGTGTGTCCTTGCAGTCTCGATAGGTTCAGATAATACTGCAGTATAATGGCTGTACTCTTTTCACAGGGCCATTCAATTAGCCAGTCAAACGCTCCGGCAGCTCTCATTGCCACCCAACATGCACACACACAGAAATGAGAACAAACCTTTTTTTATTCAATGCATCAAATATTGCCCAAGGGCCTTATAAGCTTGTGAAAAATTTCAGAGTGGAAGTGCTGTTATACTGTAGTTGAAAGGAATAGTTTACTTGCTGTCATCTGTCATCATTGCTTCTGTCAAGCACAAAACAGTACGTTTTGGAAGTATATCCTGGCCACCCTTATTAATGTAAGTGAATGAGGACAGGTACTGCAAAATTACAAAAAACGCATTTACATTACAAAATTACGTCATAAAAGTGTGCTAAAATGGTACATTAATGGACTGTTAGCTCAAAAGAATGTGTGAACGGATGAATGAACAAACAATAGATAGAGCATCAGAAAGTATAAACGGATAGATAGATAGGTAGGTAGATAGATAGACGGACAGACAGAGAGACAGACACAGTCAGATAGCTAGATAGCTAGATAGCTAGATAGATAGATAGATAGATAGATAGATAATAGTTGCTGAAGGTGCAGAGAAGGGAATAAAGTGATGATCTGATGAGTCACAGAGGTAAAAGGATCATGGGAAAAGGGCAGAGGACACTTGGCAGGAGATAGGAGAGAACGAACGGAGGGAGATTTCTACATAAATCAAACTGCAGCTGGTGTTTCCACATAGGTATGTGAATGATAAATACAGCACCTGCTTATTCATAGGCGCCCGCTGTGAGATATGAAACATCCTGATCACGGATGCGGAGCTCCTATAGGTCCATTGAGAGAGAGACCCGCAAGTTTTCCTGGATTACCCCCAACTCCAGCAGCAATCATCCTAGCATTCAGCGGTGAGCTGGGGCAGAGAGGTCGACGGCTCCCGCGGCGCAGGCCAGGAGGGTAAAAACTATGGAGCAGAAGAGCACAAAATGAGCCTCGCTGAAAATGTACAGTTACACACAAACCCTCCCGGGAAAGAGGCACGTTAGACAAAGAGCACGTCTCATGTGATGCCACGGATCACGAATATTGCTCGGGTATGCACACATAATTTAATATGATCTTCTTGGTCTTTTATTTGCGTTCTCTCTCAAAAATATTGGATTCTTTTGCAAAACATTTGTGTTCTCACAAAAGTATTGCGGTCCCCCAAGACATTTTGTTTTTTCTTGCAAAAACTCAAGCACCAGATTTACTTACATTTACTATTTCCTAATGCGCAAACCCTCTTCCGGTGTTACTGTCAGGATTTACTAAAGACACGCAGTGAAGAATTAGCGCTGAAAAGGCGTGGACAGTTATTTTTGACCTTATAGCATATGCATTTGTAGGAGTTTCCCTCTCAGAGAGGTGGTCCTCACTGCAGAACACCAAATCCAAGGGGAGGAGTTGGATCCAGATGCATCTCCTACCCATAATCCTACCCATCTCCGCCCCCTGATCTCGAACCCCACCCCTAATCCTACCCATCTCCGCCCCTTGATCCCTAACCCCACCCCTAATCCAACCCATCTCCACCCCTGATCCCTAACCCCACCCCTAATCCTACCCATCTCCACCCCTGATCCCTAACCCCACCCCTAATCCTACCCATCTCCACCCCTGATCCCTAACCCCACCCCTAATCCTACCCATCTCCACCCCTGATCCCTAACCCCACCCCTAATCCTACCCATCTCCACCCCTGATCCCTAACCCCACCCCTAATCCTACCCATCTCCACCCCTGATCCCTAACCCCACCCCTAATCCTACCCATCTCCACCCCTGATCCCTAACCCCACCCCTAATCCTACCCATCTCCACCCCTGATCCCTAACCCCACCCCCAATCCTACCCATCTCCACCCCTGATCCCTAACCCCACCCCTAATCCTACCCATCTCCACCCCTGATCCCTAACCCCACCCCTAATCCTACCCATCTCCACCCCTGATCCCTAACCCCACCCCTAATCCTACCCATCTCCACCCCTGATCCCTAACCCCACCCCTAATCCTACCAATCTCCACCCATTGGATCTGGATCCAACTCCGCCCTCTGGATCTCGTGTGCCTCAATGCGGTGCTACTGCTCTCAGACGCAAAATTTATGGGTGGAGAGTATTTAAATGAATCACGCAAGGTGATTGCGCTAGTCAATTTACTGCCCCAAAAAAGCATGTCTTAAGCTAGTCGCTAATTTTCGCTGCTCTCTGTAGATTGCATTGGTCATTATGGAAATGATCCAAGGTGTGTCTGTGTTCTTTAATTTACGCATCATCATTAGATCAACTTTCCACCCCCATCAACACTTTTTTTTGGAATTGCGCTCTCGTGCTAATTTGCCGTTCAATAAATCTGGCCCCCAAAATTGTGTTTCCTTTTCGTTCTCTCGCAAAAAAATGATTAAAAATAATTTATTTTTCCTCCCACCACCATCAATATTTACCTTTATGGCCTAACGTGGGCTTCAGGCCAAAATAAATCAAATTATAGAAAATATAGTTTGAGCCTTTAAAAAGACTGTCTAGTCAAAAATACAGGCAGTGCTGTTCACATTTACCTGCATTAATATGTTGAAGAGGGAGAGTGTAAATTACAGCTGAGCTTAGTGATATTAGTGGTTTGGCCCTGTGATAACCCTCTTTAAGAGCAGAACAGACAGGAGTTTAAGCAGCGGGGTGAGCTAATTACAGGTTTGCATTAAAAGAGCCCCGCTGAGACGACAGAACCCCCTCAACTCTATACTTTCTCTTTTTTACAATCATTCCCCACTCTCTCTCATTCTATTTTTTCACTGTTTGTGTCATTTACCTTCCTCTTCGCTTCCTTCGTTCCACTCTGGTTCCTCCTCTCAACCCCTTCTTTCTCCTCCGACTACAACTGCAAAATCATCAGCGGTCTCTCCTAGAATAGAAAAGCCATTACTTACATTTAAAGCTCAAGTAATACATTGTGAAAATCGCAGGCAGGCAGATTTAGATTAACCTCGGCTTTCCGTACATCAAAAGAAAAATGCTGTCTCCCAGCGGTCGCGTTCAAGTTATGTGCCAGAAAGAAGGGGAAAAAACATATTTTTTTTGCATTAAATTGCTTTTCCGGTTGATTCTCGAGAGTTTTCATGGCTCTACCAAAAGATGTGCAGTCACAGGCCAAAAGTTCAGCAACCTCATCAAAAGCATGAGTTGTTTTCTGAAACCGTCAGGCTCAGACTGTGTGTGTGTAGATGAGTTTGAGTCAGACTGGAACAATATCAGAGAGAGAAGACATAAATCAGAGGCATCTGTCTGTATACCTGCAGGGGTACAAAACTGTGCCTTCTCCCTTTGTTTTTATTTGAGGTTTAGCGACCTTAAACAGAGACATCTATTTGAGATGTTCAGATGTGTTCTTGTGACGCACTGCTCAGATACACTGGTCCAAATTCAGCTGTTTATTTGAGGCAATCCAGAATCATAATCTAAAAGACAGGCAACTGATCAAAACCATAAAGCAGACAATCCAGAAAACCAGGCAGAAGATCGAAAGCCATGACATGAGGAAACCAGAGAGCGCTCAGAAAACACAGCGCTAAAGAGACAAGATAATGACACACAGCTGAACCTAATCACAACAAAATGGGCAATGGGTTATGGGAATTGAAGTTGAGCAACCCTGTTACAAAAATGTGTGTGTGTCTGTTAATATATTTCAAGTTACTGTAAGAAAAATTAACAAACAAAATGATATATATAAATTTATAAAATATATATTAAAAATAAATATATATGCAAATGGAAAATTTTGTGCAAACATTTTGTACATTTCATAAATATGATTTGATATATATGACATTAATATACAATAAATCAATTAATAAATCATTAAGCTAATATAATATATACATTTAGATACACATTTAATTTTTGATTTTCAATTGTTCTTTTAGAAATGTATGTAACAGGGTGGAACGATTGGGCTTAAAAAAACAATACAATTTTGAACAAATTGAGTTGATGTAGTACAAATGAACTTTTAAATGAAAATCATTATATAATATGTTCTTATAAATCTTAATATAATAAAATAAAATATAATATATATATTTTTAATGCAAAATAGAAGCATCTTCACTAGTGGTCTCAGACTTTTTGGGCCCCATTGTAGATCATTTGATAATCTAATAATCTAATTTGCAAGATATGTCTGAGATCATTGATTTCATCAGAATAGAAACAAAGCAAGTCAAAGCTGTGAAACGCAGCATAAAAAGCCCAGGGTTTGCCGAGGAGACGGTGTGGTGAAAGAGGGAGGGAAAACACAGTGTGGGAGTTGCTGTATTATTTGCAACATTAGAAATGTGCATATCCTCAACTTCATTACAAATGACGTGGGCGTTAAGTGTGCAATCTTATCTGACCCGGACAGCTATAACGGACTCCCACTACCGTCGAACGCGCGCACTGTGTATGAGTGTGAAAGACAGAGCTGTTTCTTTTGTAAATATTAGGCTCAAATGCTGGAAATCTCCTGCCTTTATTCTCATCCACACAACACCAAGATGATTTGCTTCCTATCGGATCTGGTTGACGTATTTAATCAATTTTTGATGACTTAGTTCACTGAAGAGACACTGAAATTCCCTTTCTATCTGCTTAAGATATGTTCTATTTGCACACATAAGATATCATACCAATCCTATTATTAATTCCCATCTCCGAGGGAGCATCCGTAATCAACATGATCTTCTTAGCTACCTTGGGTCTACAGCAGTAATATAAAGGACGCAGAGCAGATCTGACGGCTCAAATGAGCATCCTCACGGGCTGTGAGTCCCACAGCTGTCCGCCGTCCTGAAATCCCGTATTAATCAGAGCCTGGAATTCAGCAAATCCCGTGGAAGCGGCGCATTAGCCCATCCTGGAGCTGTCCGTGGTGCTGATGCCGTGCCATAGCAGTCGCTGATCAGTATGAAGGACTGACTTAATGAGAAGTGCTGGATTTCACAGTTCCTGCAGCTGAAATAGAACAGACCTGTTGCTGCATTAGTCACTAACCTGTCAGTGTTTCTGACGTTTTTAAGGCAGTACTGGAATTTATATTTCTATTTTTATTTTGTTCTCCACAAATATAGCAATTAATTGAGCTTGGAAGTTGGAACGCTTTCCTTTCCAACTCTATTTAAAACTTTTTTTATTAGTTTTAGAGCTCAAAAAGAAAATTCTGTCACCACCACTGTCCAACCCTGAATAACTGACTTTCTTTTGCAAAACATAAAAGACGTTTTCCAGAATATTGGGAACTAAACAATATTGGAACCCACTGACTTTTATTGTATGGTGAGAAAAAAACGCTCAAAACATCATCTTTTATGTTCCACAGAGAAAGAAAAGAGTGACAAATACATTTTCAAAACAGAATTATTAGTCGTCGTCGCCCCCCCCCCCAACCCTTTATTATACAACTATAGAACAGCTGTCAGTGACGATGTCATTGTAATGTTTACCTGAATATTTGCATATTGATTTGCGAAGGGTCTTTTTTGTTTATTTGCATACTGAATTGTTCTTTTTCTTTTCTTTAATGTAGCCATCTATTTACACTGAAAAGGCAAGCCACATGATTGTGGAAAATGTAAAGTAAGGGATTACTCTTAATTTAATTACAGTTACTTCTGATGTAATTGAGGTAAATACTGTGTATAGATCAATCCGATCTCACAGCGATTCTTATGCATTTTTGAGGCGTCTAAATATTACGACCGCACTCGTACAAATTCGTATGAATTATTGTAAAATATGTATGAAAAAAGTGTGAAATGTCATTAGATCAGACATAAAACAATAGTGGGTTTAACATCAAAATGTATTGTCTGATGCTAAAAAGTATGTTTTTTATAATGTAACCTTCTCCACCTTGGTCTGTTTAAGGATAATTCATGCAATTTTATAGTATTTATTTGAAAGAATTAAAACAGATTCATCTCTATCCTTGTATTATTCAGCTGGTTGAGATTGAAATGGGATTTTGAAAGTAATTAGTAATTAAAAGTAATTAAATACTTTTCAGAGAGAGTAATTAGTACAGTAATCTAATTACATTGTTGAAGAGGTAATTAGTAACTAGTAATTAATTACTTTTTTAGAGTAACTTACCCAACACTGCATGCTGACAAAACCAAAATCTTATAAAGTGTATATCTTCTTCGCATCCCCAACAAGAAGAGCAGAGATGATTAGAGATGCACCAAAATTAAAATCTGGCAAAAATACTGCTAATTATTTTCAAGTAAAATGTCTGATATGTGTAATGTCCGTCATTACAGGCATCACAACATTATAATATACCAATATGAAAAATGGCCTTTTTCTTTTTACATTCTTTTACAATTACATTTAACAGTGTTAATAAATCATCATCACAATTTAAAAAAAGAACATTAAGCATTAGATAATCTACACCAAAGATAATCTAAATTTAAAATTAAATATCCAATTCCGCTTAGTTAAAAAAAAATCATTACCATATGGTACTGATTATAAATATAAATATTTGCCATTATTTCAACAACACACTAGTTAGGCTGCGTATTGAGGGAGGAGGAGGAGGAGGGAGTTTTCTTCCATGTGACAGCACACTGCTGAGCCAGAGCCGACCGGGGTCAGCAATACTGCTATCGACAGACACATTATGGATAGAAAACAAACGGAAAGAAGCCATTACTGAGAACAGGAGGTGTAGCAAAAGTAAAGTCACATGAACTATCTCTGTAATAATAGTGTGGAGGAAGAAAACAGAAAAATACCTCAGAGAAAGAGATCGAGAGGAGGAGAGGAAAAGAGGGGAATAGAGGAAAGACTGGGAAGGGAGAGAGCCATTTAGCAGCTTGTGCAACTCGGAATGACATAGAAATTAAATGTATTCGTGCACACACCAGTGTAATTGAAGTACATTTTTGCACATGGAAGGGAATTGTTTTACTAAAAGTAAATGTAGCTTTAAATAACAATGGCAAGCTGATAAAATAATATTATTTTAAATAATTTACTATTAGATAATGTTCAGTATTATTAAATAATTATTTATAATAATATTTAATAAATAATTTTAATAAATATTATTACTTGTTTTTTGATAAATTAGTTTAATCTCCATGTAGTTATGGAACATGTAGTTATGGAACAGTATCCCCATCTCTGTCAGGGAATGTTCCACATTTCCTATATTCAAAACCAGACTCAAAGTGTGGCTTATAGCAAACCAGTCTTGTGACCACTAAGTGTTTTCTGTTTTTTGTTGTTGATTCTGCTTGTAATTTTTTATTTAGTTTTTTTTTTTTTGTTTATTTTGTTTTTGTTGTTTGTTGTAATCTTTGTATTTTTTGTTATTTGTCTAGGGACTACGGATGTAAATTAGCCCTGTGGCTATAATCCGGCATGTTTACGTCTGTTTTATTGTCTCAATTCAGAAGTTCATTAATGTGCATTGTCCCTATCAAAAAAAAATAAATAATAAAAAATAAAAAAAGTAACCCTTTTTTTTAATTAAATGACAAATCATTAAAAAAAAAAACAATTTGAATGCAACACTTTACAATACTGTTCCATTTGTTAACGTTACTAGCATGTATTCATATTGGTTAATGTTAATTTCATTTACAAATACATTTTTAAGACCAAAAGTTCTAACATTAACAAAGGTTAATAAGTGCTGTGAACATTTCTCAGTGTTCATTTATGTTAGCAAATGAATTAATGTGAACAAACGATACCTTATTGTAAAGTGTCATGTACCTTTTTTGTTCAAGTAACGTTACTGAATTCACTTTTCTATTAATGTATGTATAAGAGTCTTCCTAGATTCTGACCCTTTTAAAATGTTTCTGCTTTGTGCTGCTTTATTTCCTGAACACCTTTGTGCAGATAAGTAAGGTTAGCCAGGCTGTCTATCCCTAATTCGGACATGAAATGTAATTATGACTTGCCTTTAGCTGCGCTGCGGGTCTGCTGTTGTAAGAGACAGGTGAGATTGTGGAGAAGGCCTGGACAGGTGCATTCAGCTCGACTCTTCTGCTCACGGCATGACCTACTTCTGTCCATTTCTGTGAAAAAGAGGAGAAAAGTGTGCAGAGATGTGTAAAGGAGAACTTTAAAGGGATGCTTCAGGATTTAGGAATAGTAAAAAACCTGTAGTATTTTTAAACTGGCGTAGGAACCGGGGAGGACGTGTCCCCCTCAATATTGAAAAAATGTGTCCCACCCAAAAAAATTCATACCTAACCTAGCACAGGAACAAAAACTGTACATTTGGAACTTTTATTTTTAAAGCACGACAAATAAGATATCCGGTTTTGCCAGCAAGTCAAACCCAGAGTGATAGTTAGATTAAACCCGGTTAAACCTTCCCATTTCATGTTTGAATAATCACCATATGCTTCATATATTTCACTCACCGGAGCATCTGACTGGTAGAGAGAAGTTAACATTACACTAGAAACACACCAGCTTTGAACTGGAACCTACATGATTTATCTAACCTGACAATGTTAAAGTATTTTTGTTATTATTTATTTTATTTTTTTAGCTTTATCTTACTTATAATATCACATACCTACCTTTTTGCAGTTTGGATAAATAATAAACACAGCAGTTTGAACTCCAAAAACCCGCGACCATAACAAGCGCTCACGACCCATCTACGGCAAGCCCCGAGGGGAAAAATACATTGCATACACGCATACAACGAGCTCTAGTAGTACATCATTACCGGTATTATAGTAACAGACTTTGTTGGATTATGTAATTTACAATCCAAAAAAAGGCTGTTACAATAATAATAAAACGATTTTGAGGACAGTTACACTGTATTGAAACAGTTGATAAATAATAATATTTTTACAGTTATTGTCATTATTGAACCCTTGCTCTTATTTTGTTTCTAATTTCGCAGTTTTGTCATTGTTTTAGTAAATAATTTATTTTTATATATTTTGAGACGGTTTTTTTTAAGAAGTTTCAAAGAGTTAGGCTAGTAAAAGAGTAAAGTAAAAGTTAAAACTTTTATTTAAGTAGGCATCTATTTTTTTGTATTAACACTGTATTCATTTATAATACATCATCATTGCGTGACATTTGTGTCAATAATCGTCAAGCACAGGTGACTTTGTGTTGTGGGAGGGAGGGGCCCCCAAATCAAATACAGCTGAAGGCCCCCAAAAGGCTCAGACCGCCACTGCATGTACCACATCACCAAACTGTATGTTGCTATTACGGTGGTGGGATAGACATTGATTCATAGTGGCCAATATGTCCCCCCCCAATGTCAAAGACATTCCTACGCCCTTGATTACCGTCCTTTCCACCCTCATATCCCCCTGAGACGAGAGATTTATGTATTTTTTGCCTCCGATCACACAAAAATCATGATTTTGTGTCATCAGAGTATGTCCAGAGGCTAATGACTCCAGTCCCGCATGTCCTCAACCCGCCCATAGAGGGCGATCTCACTCACAGAATGAACACATAGTGTCGGCCATCTTGTTTTGGAAGCTAAGCTAGCAGGCTCTTGTTCTGTGGAGAAAGCGGAGTAGTCGGGGTTACATCCTCTTTTTCCCGGACATGTCCGGACGTCGATGTCCGGGATTCAGCTTTTGCTTTTTCATTGTTTACATGCACAGCTTTAGTTTCAATCTAACTGAATTCGTTCCGATTGGTGAATCTGAATGTAGTGTTTACATGAACGCTAAACAAGATAGGCGACAGGTAGGCGTGGCCTCCTAGGGCATTCTGGGAGTTGTTGTCTTTCATCCACATAAGCCAAAAATACATTTTTTCTTAGTCAAGCTCCAAATCCTAAAATAATTTCACATCTCTTCTTCAAAATGACCAATTTTAAATACACATTCATCTTTCCAGAGGTGAAGTATCCCTTTAAAGTCAGCAGGGCACATTCTATGTGTGTGCTGCTTCATCTGCACATTGCTGGGACACAAGCAATGGATTATGGGAGTTGCAAGTGTTCTTATGAAAGCACGTCAGTGAGTGTGTCTCTCCAACAGATATTTGAGAGCTTAGCATCTGTAAACACGTCCTCCGGCCGCAGAGTCTCTCTATCGAGTCGCTTTTATTCGGACTGACGTGTGGACCGCTGTGTGTTTATCTCATCCTAATGTGGGCTTTGCAATAAGAAGAGCAAAATAGAGAAAGCTATGCACTCAGAGAGGAAGACATGAGGAACTGGACAACAGAGGGCTAAATCAGCTGCATAATATGAGCCGGATTTCATTCTGCAAAGCTTGTATTACAAGACAAAGCTTCCAAACGGGTCCTTGACATAATTGAAGCTTGTTTCAATTTTTGGGACGCTGTGGAAAACACATTAAAATGAAAAATGGCTCTCAAGCTAACTCGACAATTGATGAAGTTGCATTATTATGAGAGGAATAAACAAATGCTAGTTTCACCAGATGAAAAAATCTGTTGTTCAGAATCCATTTGATTTTCTTTATTGTGGTTCAAATGGAATACATTTTTAGTGTTTAATATATATATATATATAAAAGAAACACATTATACTAATAAAACATGGGTGATGTTAAATCATGACAAAGTGAAAGCAGTCAAAAATGTGTTTTGTTGTATTGACAGCAGTTCTGGAGTGCTTCACTACATCTGTGTTTCTGAGCAGAAGGGCTCTTTATTTTTTGCCAGGAAATGTTGCCTTTCATCCATCATTTCCTTTCCATTTCCTGAACAAAAAATAAGAGATTTTGACTGCTTCAAACGTCGTGTACTATTAAACTTACACTGGCATGAAACAGAACATGCTTTTCTTCCCTATCGTGATGTATATCTGAGTAAAACGACTTATTGAACAAGAAAAATGATGGGGCGGAACTTGATTTTGACCATCTGGAATTGATTGGATTGTTGTATGGTTGATGTCATGTGAGTGACAGGTTGTCCCGCCCTCGCACCATTAAACACGTCATTGGTAAAGAGACGTTGCTGCGAGGTAGAGGGGAAGTTATGATGTGCTAATGGTCAATTTTGATTTTATGGTGAGTAAGTCTGCAACTGACCCTTCTCTAGGTTGCTGTTCGCTATTCAGACAAGCTTTGATTTGATTTTGATTTTATTTTATTTGACCACTTAAATATAAAAATATGAAAAACACACTGTAAAAAATGATTTTTTGGTGAAGTAAATACTAGTGAAAAAACCTAATGTAATTTACTTGAAAAAGTTAGTTCAGGCAAGAATTTAAAAAACTACATGTAAGTAAATTCCATATCAGTACTTAATTCAAGCGAGTATAAATGAAAGTGTAAGTATCAACTCAATAAAATTAAGTACAAATTACTCAACTTTTCTGATACTGGGGTTCCCATCATGCACTGGACCTTGAATAATTAATGAGGCTAATTTTTCACTGGTTTCCAGCTGTATTTTCACTGTTTTATCATTGATTTTTGTTGTCAGTATTAGTAAATTGCCATTTTGTGACGTTTCTAGTAATTTTTTCTGCTAAAAACGACACATTCAAACACAAAAACGATCCATCAAATGTTACCGCCATTGTGTATTGTCTACCAAGTATTGAGGTGTTTGCATTCACATAAGGCTTAATGTCTGACATGATGTATATATAAATTACTATAGCACATACTATAAATGACTAATAAAATTCAAGATTATTGTTTTAGTGAAATGTAATACAAAGGCAAAGGAAATCGGTGTTAATCAACCTTTTACAAGCCGAGTTAAAATTACTTATTGTTTGTGGAGTTTACTTAATTCCATATTCCAAGTAAATTTAACTTAAAGATTTCTAATTATGTGTTTAGGTTTTTACTTGGCAAATCTTTGTAAATTTACTAGCGTTTTCTGAGTGAGATAGTTTAGCGAGGTTTTTTCAAGTAAATCCTACTCCAATTTTTTTACAGTGCAGTAAGAAACTGTTTCATACATTAAAATCAAATACAAAAGTAGTCAGTGATAACACAATAAAGCCCGAAGACTTCGCTTCTTCAGCTTCTTTTCAGACAGTTGCTAATGCAGGATGGGTAATTCTTTTAAAAGGGATAGGTAGTTGACACACACACACACACACACAAATTATATCATTTCTATTCAATGGAAACCAGTCGGCACCAAAACTGCTTTTGATACCAACATTCTTCAAAAAGAAATGACTGCAGCTAGACCAATGTTAACTCGCTCTCTCCAACACTCAGATCCCTTCACTGGCTGCCTGTATCATTCAGAATGGAGTTAATTTATGTACTTACATAAATTATGACAATTTCAAATGTTAGGTGAACCAGGCGGGGCTTAGCTAAAAGTGTGTCCTTGAACCCCAGAAAGTCTGAAATGTTTTGACCCCGACACAAAAGCAGACATTCATCCCTACGTTTATCCTCCAAAGGGAGCTCATTATGCGGCTGTTGAGCATCATCTCCTCTTCCATGTCTAATCTGGGCCACTGCAGCGTCTCATATTCCACCTTCTTCAGCAGGAGAGTCTTCGAAATGAAGGGTGGCTGCTATCCAGGGCTCTGACAGGAACAGAAATGATCAGATTAAATACAGCACGAGTTAGACAGAACCTGCTGCACTGTTTTATCCCGCTTCCACGTGCAATAAACAAGCTGTACTTTCGAATTTGCTCTTGAGAACGGCAATAAATAAATGAATAAATTAAATAATTCTCACCCTAGTAAATAAATTTGGAAATGCATGAAATTTCTCCTGGGGTTTGCTGCAGAGGAAATGACAACACGACTCCCTCTGTTCGCCACAGTGCAGATAGAGACAGGCGGTGACCCACTTAAAGTACATTGAAAACCATGCATCACTCACATTTGCATACAGAATCCCAAAATTAACACTCACCAAGAGCCAAATGTGAGTAAAAGGTAGGAGATGATCATAATTTTATTAGGAACTTGAACATATTATAATGATCTCAATCAATTGTAAGAACATCTATTGATTATAATATGAATCTTGCTTATGTTCTTATAACTATGAAATTCTGAGGGAAAAAAATCACTATGTACATATACACAAACTCTGAGGACAACATGCCAGATGTCTAAACCGTCATGGATTTGTTTGTTTGTGTCAGAGTAAGTGTGTTCATGAGTGTTACCGATAAAGGTCTGTGTGTGACGAATGTGTTTGGACGGTGTTCTGGCCCGGCGTTGACACATAAGCGCTGAGATCAGCATATCAGGACATTCACTAATCCCAACATGTTTGATCTTCTCCTCCAACCAGCTTGACTCAAGGACACGCTACTTTTCACACAAGCATGCACACGTCACACACACACACACGATTTTGAGAGCATTTGTTGGTGACAAATGAATACTTTTCTGTGTAATGAGTGATTCACTGAATCAAATGATTCATTAAAAAACGTGTTGTTTTTTTACCAAAACAAGTTAAATGACACTTAAATACTACTTTTTCACAGTATTGCCAGTCTTTCTCTAGAACTTAAAGGAGTAGTTCACTTTAAAAAAAAAAAAACTTTTGTTTATAATTCACTCACCCCCATGTAATCCACGGTGTCCATGTCTTTCTTTCTTCAGTCGAAAAGAAATTAAGGTTTTTGATGAAAACATTCCAGGATTTTTCTCCATATAATGGACTTCAATGGGAACCAAACGGTTCAAGGCCCAAATGAGAGTTTCAGTGCAGCTTCAGAGGGCTTTCAACGACACCAGACGTTGAATAAGGGTCTTATCTAGGACCCTTAGAGTCATGACTCGAAAAAAGATTTGTTCATTTTGATGAACGATTTTGAACAGGAGAGTCAAAACCGCACATCACAGAACAGACCAAGGCGAGCATTTGTGCTTATAAAACTTAAACTTTATTATTTATTTATTAAATGAGTGACCGTTTCGCTTGATAAGACCCTTATTCATTGTCTGGAATCGTTTAAAGCCCTTTGAAGCTGCACTGAAACTCTCATTTGGACCTTGAACCATTTGGTCCCCAATGAAGTCCATTATATGGAGAAAAATCCTGGAATGTTTTCATCAAAAACCTTAATTTCTTTTCGACTGAAGAAAGAAAGACATGGACATCTTGGATGACATGGGGGTGAGTAAATTATCAAGAAAGTGAACTACTCCTTTAAAGTCACCATGAAATCTTATTTTTATGGAATATTGGTGTATTTATTTTAAGCGATTTATCTGTGCCCATCAGTGAACTTTGATGAGGTGTTTACTGTCGCGAGTCATGACATCACAGACATAGCAAACCAAAAACATCCAATCAACTCCCCATGGACAAAATCAAGTCCCGCCCTACAAATGTTTTCTTGTTCGAGAAGCAATTTCACTTGGATATACATCACAAAAGAGAATAAAAGACAATCGCAGCCTCTATTAAATGCCAACTTTAAGGCGTGAACAAAAACAAATAGTCAGTTTATGGAATGATTCATTCACTTAAAGGGATACTCCACTTTTTTTGTAAATAGGCTCATTTTACCACTCCCCCAGAGTTAAGCAGTTGAGTTTTACCGTTTTCGAACCCATTCAGCCGATTTGCTGATATTTAGAAGAATATCAGTAAACAGACAGTTTCTGGTCTCATTGACTACCATAATAGGAAAAAAAATATACTATGGAAGTCAATGAGACCAGAAACTGTCTGGTTACTGATATTCTTCTAAATATCAAAAAATTGGCTGAATACATTCGAAAACGGTGAAACTCAACTGTTTAACTCTGGGGGAGTGATAAAAATGAGCCTATTTCCCAAAAAAGTGGAGTATCCCTTTAACAGATTTGTTAAAACCCAACACACACATGCTATTACAAGTCTCTCTCTCTTAAATTCTGTGCTCTGATTGACAGCAATGTTTTGCAAAACACAAGGATAGCTTTTTATAGCCTGTGCTTTATTTGACCTTTTTATAGCCTGTTCGCTTGTCAGCTTGATGCGCGTGAGTGAATGTGTGTTGTGTCTTTCCCATATGTGCATTTGTTTTGTGGTTTCGTGGGTTTTGGCTTGCAAAGAACATGACACGTGTTTCCAGGATGCAGCAGTAATCGGAAACGAGTCACTTATTTGTGCAAATGACTCATATAAAAGAAAGAAAAGGAAAAAGAAAAGGCCATCGACACACACACACTCGCCATGATGAACACGATGACAGATCGATATCTGTCCACTACTCTGAATCCAGCAAATTGAGCTTGTGTTTCATGCACAAGTGCTTTGATTATAATTCTAATTAAAGTAAGTTAATCAGCGTATAGGGACACAACGACCTAATTCAGTAACACAAGTTTCACTGGATGGGTATCGCTAGCAATTAAATCAATGTCATCTTTGCTTTGTGTCGCTTCATCCGGATGGGCTATCAGGTTCATCAGCGCGCAAAAATCCCAATGCAAACGGGCAGAAAGTGACGTCGGCAGCCAGACAAAAAGAAGTGACAGCATAATATAGCGAAACGTGTGGTACGAATTTGGCATTTGGTATGTCTGAATTACGAGAGATGGATTCGTAGAGCTCAGAAAGTGGGAGGGAGGCAGGAAAAACTCTATTGTGCTCACTTTAACAAGACATGGGAAGAATAAAATGGGCTAAAAATTGCCAACCCACTGCCACATTTAGTCATGGTGTTTACCGCTTTTCCCTCTGTGTGACTCATCGTACCGTACCATAACGTGATTTGACAAAAGCCATTGAAGTCATGCTTTCTTTCCAGTTTGGCACTTTTTTGGGGGGGGTGGGCGAGCGCTGATGACAGTCAATCAAGAGACGAAGTGACGTTTTTCTGTTGTTACACGACCCCCCCCCCCCCTTTATGACTCGTTCTTCGTTTCACTAATCGCTGTCATTTATCATTCAGCTCACTCATGCTTTCGCTCCTTTTATCCGGAATTTACAAGGGAGCACTCGCAATTTTATGTAATTGTAATGTAATAAATAGATGGATCTCTCCATCTTTGTATTCCTTTCTTTCTCGGCTGTGAGTCAGAAGTGTTTCATAAAATCCACTCACGTCTTTTACACCTTCCAATCTGTTAATGCACTCACAGGAAGTGACAAAACTGTCGCGTTTGGATCATGACACCGAATTGTCCAAATCATGGGTTGCGAAAGGGTTTTAGTGCCCACGCCACGCTGGTGAGAACGTCTTATATAAACTTGAGAGAGAAAATTTGCTAATGAATATGATAAAAAGTTTTTTTTTAGTCTCACATACACAACTGCACAGTTAAAGTAACCTTGTGTTGGTGGTCTTGGTAAAGCTCCAACTTCACATTAAAGTTAACTTGAACCCTAACCCTTGCTTTCTAAAAACATTTACTTAATTATTGGTCTTAGACCACCAAACTATATCATTAGAAGGAAAAGAAAATCCTTGGAGCCATGGTGCAGAAAGTACACTCTCAGAAAAAAGATACAAAAGCTGTCACTGGGGCTGTACCTTTTTAAAAGGGAAAACTTTTGTCCATTTTAGGTACTAATATGGACATTAAGGTGCTAATATGTACATTTAGGTGGTAATATGGACATTTTAGGTGCTAATATGGACATTAAGGTGCTAATATGGACATTTAGGTGCTAATATGTACATTTTAGGTGCTAATATGGACATTAAGGTGCTAATATGTACATTTTAGGTACTAATATGTACATTTATGTGCTAATTTGTACATTTATGTCCTAATATGTACATTTTAGGTGTTAATATGTACATTTAGGTGCTAATATGTCCATTTTAGGTACTAATATGGACATTAAGGTGCTAATATGTACATTTAGGTGTTAATATGTACATTTTAGGTGCTAATATGGACATTAAGGTGCTAATATGTACATTTTAGGTGCTAATATGTACATTTTAGGTGCTAATATGTACATTTTAGCTGCTAAAATGGACATTAAGGTGCTAATATGTACATTTTAGGTACTAATATGTACATTTATGTGCTAATTTGTACATTTATGTCCTAATATGTACATTTTAGGTGTTAATATGTACATTTATGTGCTAATATGTACATTTTAGGTGCTAATATGGACATTGAGGTGCTAATATGTACATTTTAGATGCGAATATGGACATTTTAGGTGCTAATATGGACCCTGTAGGTACTTTTGAAAAGGTACAGCCCCAGTGACAGCTTTTGTACCTTTTTTCTGAGAATCGTACACTTGCTCGCAATCTATACAAGCTGATAGACAGCTTGATTTGAAAGAATTAAATTTAATTAGCAGGGTGAGTACTGAAGAGAAGTGCAATATCAACATCTGCATTAGAGGTAATAGAGTAAAACGAGAAGCTAAAAAAAAGCGAGTGGGACGTATACACAGTTTTTGTGATGTCAGAGGCTTGTTTTTATAAGAACAGACAGCTCACTAATCGCTCACACACTCATCTTCAAACAGACACTTATCAGCATCTTCCTAAAATAACACCATAGCTCTGAATTACATAAGAAAGAGGAAGAACCGTAAGAGTATTTTCACGTCTGCATTCCACATCTGGCCGAGCTTTAGCTAAATTATCCAAATGAGCTCCGCCAAAAATCCAATCTCTCAATCTTTCCTTTTCCTCCAGCCCATTATGCACCTTTCCAACCTGCCCAATTCACTTACAGTTCATTTATTGCTACGATTGGTCGAAAAGGCTTTTCAAAATCAATTATCTATTTACCCCACGCTCTCATTGGAATAAAGGCTTGTTAGATGCAATTCCCATCACTGCCATCGGTGCTGGAAATGGAGCTAATGAATGCTAATGCATGCTAATAAATGCTAAATGAGCCGATCTATTAGAAACCAGGCGGCGCTGGCTAGTGACACCATCCACACGCACAGAGGCCACGCATATTATCTTTGCCCATAAATGCATATACTATTAGTTTTACCATAATGACCAGAATTTACCAGAATGGGTGGTATTGTGTAGTGGTTAAAGACAACAAATTTGACTACAAAATTGAGTATTAAGTCACTTTAGTTAAAAGCTTAAAGGGATTGTTCACTTTGAAGTTAATTTTTGGTATGTTTTAGCTTACCTCAAGGGCATCCAAGATTGTTTCCACAGTATTTTCAATTTGTATATGTCTATCAGTCGTATAATGTATACTTATATGCCTTGATCTGTTCTGTGATGCGTGTTCGTGACTCTCCTGTTCAAACTCGTTTATCAAAATGAACGAATCTTTTTCCACTCGTTTGGTTCATTCAACGAACGAAACGAATGAATTGATTTGGAAAAAGATTAGTTCATTTTGATAAACGAGCTCAAACAGGAGAGTCACGAACGCGCATCACAGAACAGAGCAAGGCGAGCATTTGAGCTTATAAAACTTACATTTTGTTATTACTTTATAAAATGAGCGATCATTTCACTTGATAAGACCCTTATTCATCGTCTGGTGTCGTTTAAAGCCCTTTGAAGCTGCACTGAAACTCTCATTTGGACCTTGAAGCGTTTGGTTCCCATTGAAGTCCATTATATGGAGAAAAATCCTGGAATGTTTTCATCAAAAACCTTAATTTCTTTTCGACTGAAGAAAGAAAGACATGGACATCTTGGATGACATGAGGACGAGTAAATTATCTGCAAAAATTTTCTAAAAGCGAACTACTCCATGTGAAAATCGGAGCGAATTCATACTCTAAAACATGTCTAAGTTAGCGTAGCATCTGCACTTTTGTTGAGCAGAGCTGTTGATCTTCACAGTCGAGTCCAGACGCATAAATCCGCCCACACAGACACAAAACAAACAAGCGCTACTGTTCGCTAACCATTATGTCAATGGACGCCGAGGGTCTGTTGTTGCAGAGTAAACCCTGCGCTCTCTAAGTGTGTAGGCCACATAGATCAGCCTCGTGCCGTGTCGTGAAATATGAGGGGATCTTCTGCATGAGCTGATGAACGAGCTCGCCGCTATTATTGAGGTCCTGCTCTTCTGTTCCCCTCCACAGAACGCAGGCTTGTGTATCCAGCACAGCGGATCATTGGCAAATTTAATTACCTTTCTGAGAGCTCTTCAATCACATGGATTAGTGTGTGTGTGTGTGTGTGTGTGTGTCTGTGGGGGAACAGAGGGAGGGAATGACAGAAGTGAACTTGCAAGTGTATATTTTTAGAAGAGTGGCAACTATTCCTGTGGACGCAACTCCTAAACATTCACTCCAAATCCAAGGTTTTAACGACTGTTGAGTATTAATATAGCCTGAGGACACTGCTGAGGTGACCAAGTCCACATGAAATCCTCACATGCCTGATTTAATTTTGCATTTGGGGAAGATTTATATTAATCAGAATGAATTAAACATAATATATAGCCATTTACTTTAACATGTTATTCAACAATTGTCGTTAAGGCGTGTGTGCTCACACACTGTAAACATGAATATGCTTTATCTAAACAAAATTACATGCAATATTATTAAATAAATTTAACAAATTAGAATTGAGTAATAATTAATCAAATTAATTGCTTAAAAGTTAACCATTTAAAATGAGTAAAACTTACAACAACCAAAAAAACATAAATTGAAGTCACCATTATGGTGATTGGTGTTTGTTTTAAAATGACGGTTTTCTCCTTCACTGATTCTGCTTGTTAATGTTAACATCAGGTGTCTTCAATGTTGGCAATATCTTTGACGTCTGTCTGTTAGTGAGATATTTTTGTTAATTTTTTTTTTGGGTGTAAACTTTACTCATTTTAAATGGTTAACTTTTAATAATAATAATTTTAATATTTATATTTAATATTTAAAATTTGATTAATTATTACTCAATTCTAATTTGTTAAATTTAATTAATAATATTGCTTGTAATCTGTTGCCACAATTCTATTGATTAGATAAAGCATATTCTTTTTTACAGTGCATATGACGAGTAGCCATAAAGAGAAGACGTGACGATCTAGGGTTCAGCTGTATTATAATACGATCTTATGCTCTTATATGAAGAACCGAAGACTCTTTGCGCTGAGATATGAGAAAACATGAGCTGAGATCTCAACTGGTATATACAATTGTGGCATATATGAAATGCATTGACTCCACCTTGGATTTGAGCGTGTGCAAAACTGTATATAAGACTGTCAGAGACAACTATGCTTTACGTATATCTCTGATAATAAAGTCTATGTTGTGGCATCAAAACCCCAAGACTTTGAGAGTGATTTCAGCAGCCATGACACTTTGGTTTATAAAGGATATACAGATACTTATATAAAGAGAGAGAGACAACTTGGTGTTATCAGAGTTTTGCAAGTACAGATTTAATAGCGTATGAACTAATAAACCATGGCCTGTACTCTGTTTTCTGGGAGATATGGCAATTTTCCTTCAGAATGCTCGTTAATTTGCATGTGCCTGTATCTTTTTACGAGGTGCCTAATTCGTAGGAATTCATACAAGCTCACTTGTACAATTTTTGCTATATCGTAGTTGGCCAATTCGCATGAATTCGTAGGAATGAGGAATTCGTAGGAATTCATTACATTTATTCAGCTAAGTGAATAAATGTAATGAATTCGTAGGAATGACCTACCCCTGGCCCCGCCCATAAACCTAACCGTCATGGGGTTTGGGCAAATTGTACGAGTGAAGGGCCGTACACACCGGGACGAAAATCAGCGCACGTTATTCGCCAGCATTTTTCAACACGTTTTTTGTGTTCACACACTGACGATGAGCCGAGTGAACGTGCAAATTCGTTCCCTGACACTAGATGGCGCCCATTTGCTCTGCAATACCACTCCATAACAGTTCTCTTTTATCAAGATGTTTGTAGTCGCAGTCGCGTTTGTCATTTAGTTCTTTATGTTCTAACACCCACGAGACCAGCAGCTCTACATTCATCTTGCCTCGCGTCTTCCTCGTCTTATTTCTTCCTGGCTGTGTAGACGGCGACGCTACTTGCCGTAGATCTTCTTCTCCGTTACGTATGTGCGCTCGGCAACATAGATATCAATATAAAGGCTAGATGTGTTACGGCGGAGTTTCCATCGTCATCTCCGGCGGCCATCTTGTCACAGGCAAGCTGATGTAAGATGAGTGGTCAGCACGAACACAAATACTCTTATCTCGTTGAAATCTTGACGGATTTACAAACGGTTTGGTTTCTTACAAACGTTATCAACGTGGCTATAATTATCTGGATGATTATTTATTTATACACTTATTATTCATAAGTATGCAGTGTCATAACTACATCTCTGACGTTTATAACAAACCAAACCGTTTGAAAATCGGTAGAAAATCGAGCAAGTTATGGTTATTTAAGTACATGTACCATTAACACAATGTTACGAGTGAGCGAGATGCCTGTGACAAGATGGCCGCCAGGTGCAGACGTCGACCTCCATCGGCCAGCAGCGTGGACGACATATCTAGCCTTTATATAGATATCTATGCTCGGCAAGACCGTTTTGTGTTTGAGCGCCCCCAAGTTGAGTTTTACTGTAACTTCAGAAGCTCCAAACACGTCCGCAAAAGCGCCAATCTCATTGGTCGGATAGTTTTTGACGCGACCCGAGGCGTTTTTAAAAAATGACGCTTCTTCGCGTCGGGCCCATTGTTTAATCACGAGGCGTTAAACGTCGGCGAATAACGCTCTCGAAATTCGTCCCAGTGTGAACAGGCCTTGAGGTTGTACAAATATACGAATCAGTCACATTTCACTCGCTCGTACGAATTGTTCGTGAGATAGCGTTGGATAGTCAGGAGTCTATGCATGAGGATGTGTGTGTGTGTGTGTGTGTGTGGTTAATACATTCCAGCATTCTGAAGGGCATCTTCTTCTTTAAGCATGAGAGTGAAAAGTGTTTCTCCTTGACTTGTGTCCTTGCTTTAGTGAGACGTGGTCCTCTGTCTAAAGACCTTTACAAACTGGCTTACTAGTGCATTTCTCATCATGTCCCCCTCAGGTCTCTCTCTCACACACACACACACACACACACACTTTCTTGTACCTTGACTCTTTTTCCTCTTTAAATGCTTCCGGTGTCCATCTCACTCTGTTGTGTTCTGTTCCTGCCTTTGTTCTGCTGTTTTTCTCTCTCTCTGTCCTCTGATCCGTGGTTCAGAGTGCCGGTCACATTGGCTTTTCTAATTACAGTTCTGACAGAGAGAGAAAAGCCACCGGTTTGTGTCACCTCATTTTCTTTTGGTTTTGCACTCTTTGTCTACAGAGGATATGGATTCCTGCTGAAAAAAAAAAAAACATATTCTGGTTTTTGGAACATAAAACTGGTCCGTCAGATGAAAACCACTGGTTAGTCCAGCTAGAAACCATGCAAAATACAAAATTTCTGGGCTGAAGTGGACATATCATTCATTTATTTGGGTTTTATCATGTAAATGGATAATATAAAATGGCCACCTTTACTTGCACCTTCATGTCATTGTCATTATTCTGTGAAACACAAAGAGATGTTATATGTGCAGTTCATTAATGATTCTTTTGGGGAATCAGCTTGCAATACTCACTGCTCCTGCCTAGTTCACACTACATGATTTTAAAATGTCAGGCTGAACTGTGCAGTTCACACTACATGACTTGCTCTCAGTGAAATCATGAGTGTTCAAGTTGTTTAGCTGTTCACACCACACAACACAACGTGATTGATCCACAACAGGAGGTAACTCACTACACGAGTTAACAACGCACTACATAGAGATACAACCACGATCGGATGATAAGAGCATATCATTTGTGACTCAATGAGAGCTGTTTCAGTACTATAGTACGGTCTAAATCCTGAAAATAATCAAACAAATAACGAGTTGACAACAACACGATTCTATCTGGTCTAGAAACCATGTTTTGTAACGAAAAACCACGCAATAAAACGAACCAGAAATGACGCGAAACTGCAGAGAAGAACACAACACGCGAATATGGACGTCAGACAGAAACTAGTGCTGCACACTGTTTGCTCGACGATCTGCTCTGAGAAAAAAAAAATGCAAAAAAGAAAAAGTAAGATTTACCTGGTGTCCTCAACCCATGCGTTGCTATGATTGGCTGTACTCATGACATCACTGAGATTGAGTCGCGCGACTGCTCGAGATATCTAGCATGCTAGATATTTTTCTGAGCTCGTGACCTGTCTGCGAGCTGTCTGCGAGCTGTCTTTGATGCGTTGTTGGCTCTTTCACACTAACGGATTGGCGAGCGTTAATCGTCCGCTAATCGCCCGCGATTTGCACGCGATAACACCCTGACTTGTCGGCGACTCAACGATTTGCAAATCGGGCTTAAATCGGGCTTAAAATCACGTAGTGTGAACTAGGCTTAATGTCATGCACTCACTTGAATAGGTTAAATGCAGAGTATGGGTTACCATCTCACACATCACATTATAATCAATGACATAGATGAGCTAATTGGCTCAATGTGCACTGTGACCTCTATACTGATCTGACAGCTTTAAAGTAGCCCTAGATTTAGATGGTGTCTCAGCACAACAAACACAAAAAAACCATTAGTTTTGCTAATGCATGCTCCTGTGTACTCTTTCTCAACTGTGCTTTCCCCCCAACGTCCCCGAGCTTTGCTGTGAAAGCATTCTGGTGTGAAATGGCCAACAGGAGAGAGATATTAATCCAGCGTCTCTCTTCTCAGGTACTAAAGAGAGAAACTCTCCTGTGCTGTGCTTACAGTGAGATCGTGAATCTTCCGGATCCATCTTTTTCTGCTGCATGGTTTATGACCTTTTATCTAATATTGGCAACGTGGTCTCATAAGGGATTTAAAGTTTGCATACAGTTTTTGAAACTAAATGGATTGGCAAACGTCTAACATATTTGTAAACCACGATAAACTTTTAATTAGTTAATTTAATTAATCAGCAAAGAAGCATTAAATGGATCAAAAGTGACCGTAAGACATTTATAAAAGTATCTCTACTTCCAATAATCTGTTCGTTTGGACTTTAAGTTCATCAAAGAATCAAACAATAAAATGTATCATTGTTTCCACAAAAATATTCAGCAATACAACTGTTTTCAACATTGATAATAAGACATACTTCTTAAAGGAGTTGTTCAGTTTTAATATACTTTTGCTGATAATTTACTCACCCCCATGCCATCCAAGATGTCCATGTCTTTCTTTCTTCAGTTGAAAAGAAATTAAGGTTTTTGATGAAAACATTCCAGGATTTTTCTCCATATAATGGACTTCAATGGGGACCAAACGGTTCAAGGTCCAAATGAGAGTTTCAGTGCAAACTGCAAACTGTTCAAAGGGCTTTAAACGACACCAGACGATGAATAAGGGTCTTATCTAGTGAAACGAACGCTCTTTAAAAAATAAAAATAACAAAGTTTAAGTTTTATAAGCTCAAATGGTCGCCTTGCTCTGTCCTGTGATGCACGTTTGTGACCCTCCTGTTCGAACTCGTTTGTCAAAAGGAACGAATCTTTTCCAGAGTTAACTTGTTCATTTCGTTCGTTGAATAAACCAAATGACACGAAAAAAGATTTGTTCATTTTGATGAACGAGTTTGAACAGGAGAGTCATGAACATCCATCACAGTACAGAGCAAGGCGAGCATTTGTGCTTATAAAATTTAAACTTTTGTATTTTTTTTTAAATGAGCGATCGTTTCGCTAGATAAGACCCTTATTCATCATCTGGAATCATCAGTTTTTTTAAAAAATAACATAAAACAGGATCAAGACATAACATGAAACAAAACCGTGGACATGAACTTACACGACAAAGAATCACAGGAAACAATACTCGACAAACATACAGAATAATGAACAGACGATTAACCAATGACAAGACACATGGCAGGATCACATGACATGAACAAACCAAGTCGTGACCAGTATGTATGTTACAAATACACATACTCCTATAATTACACTGCTTCTTGCTGTGATCTTACAGTCAAAACGTAGTTTACATATCCTATTTTTCCTGTGGCATGTGTGATATCCCCCCACAGCCACTCATATACATATTCATATAGTCAGTCATGTTAAAATTGTTAATTACTTTGGAAGAATATTCATGCTTTATATCAATATTTATAGTCTTGGGACTAGAGTAGGACAGTTAGCAGGTGCAGACTAAAGTACATTACCGTAATATCATGCGCCATTTTACAGCAACGAGTCAATGAATTCAAGTTGTTATAATTTTCATAGTGTTTTCGAGCACATAAAATTACCTTTGCTCCCATTTCTTCTTCGTTCTCTCTTTCGTCTCATGCGCACACACACATTGATAACCTATAACCAATGTCAAGCTTCATTAGGAAGCCATTTGTATGCCCTCGGGAGCGACTTCCCGTCTCGCGGGGCGTTCGTCTCGTGAGCCATTAATTCCGACCTCTGCTGTCGCTCATAAAAACATTATTCTCTGGCATTAGCCCCCTGGTTTCATTACAGCCGAGCTGACCAATAGGTGAAGAGAAGCAGGTAGAGTGTGTGAGGAGAGATTACGGTAATCTAGCGTGTAGGACAGGCCAAGGAGACTCTATGCTGGTGACTTTTAATAGAGTATTATAATATCATTTCACTGGATTATTGCTTTTTAAAAAGGTCTGCTATCCGTTTATGGAGGCTGACCTGCCAATCAGCTGATATTAATGTAGTAATTAGAATTATTATGTAATATGCCTACGTGGAAAAAATAAATACATCCCGGTGTTATGTGTGCTATACTAAAACTACCTGAAAACTGTTTTTTTTTACTTTCATCAAAAGCAGCAATGATAAATAATAATAATAATGAAGAATAAAATATTATTAGTAAGTTTTGCAAGTGAGTATTAATAATAAAATGAGTATGTTTTACAAGAAAATAAAATTTCAGTCTTTCTACTTTTATATTCTCACACATAAAGGAGTAGTTTACCTTAAAAAAAAAACCTTTTGCTGATAATTTACTGTCATCCAAGATGTCCATGTCTTTCTTTCTTCAGTTGAAAAGAAATTAAAGTTTTTGATTAAAACATTCCAGCATTTTTCTCCATATAATGGACTTCAATGGGAACCAAAACCAAACCAAATTAAGGGACTTCAAAGACCTTTATTCATCGTCTGGTGTCGTTTAAAGCCCTTTGAAGCTAAATTGAAGCTCTTATTTGGACCTTGAACCGTTTTGGTCCCCAATGAAGTCCATTATATGGAGAAAAATCCTGGAATGTTTTCATCAAAAACCTTAATTTCTTTTCGACTGAAGAAAGAAAGACATGGACATCTTGGATGACATGAGGGTGAGTAAATTATCAGTAAAATTTTTGTTTAAAAGTGAACTACTCTTTAATTCTTTTTGTTGCTGTTTCTTTGTAATAATGTGTGAAATTTAGGAATTTGTGAAAGTCAATATTTTTTGATATCCTCATGAATATTCACAGATTACAGCCCTGCCGGGACTTTCGGAGAAAAACACACGTTTTTGTCCTTTACCGGGCAGGTACTCATAATTACCGTCTCTTCTTCAAGCCAAGACACGCTGCCACAAATCACCCAGTTCTCCTGAGGATGACCAATTTAGTCTTTAACCTCTTGTCCTCGTGTAGAGAAATAAAGAGAGGGAGATATGCATGAGAGGTAGAGAGAGTGCATGTGTGACAGAGAGCGAAAGAAGGAGAGATAGAGGAGGCCATCTGGGAGGAGGAGGCGTAGAGGAACATGTTGTTGAGAGGGGTTTATAGCCCGCTGTCTGCGCTCAGCCTGTGCCTGCAAAAACACATCAATTATACAGTGGTGCTTTTAGACAGCTGGCCTGCGAGAACATAAAAACAGCACGCATGAATATGACATAAAAGAGTGGTGTCTTCTAAAGGCTCACTGATCTCTCCTCATTGAACACAACTGAGAGTTATCGTCGCACTTCGTGGAATGATAGCTCCTGCCGCAGTCCCGACACCGTATTAAAGATCGCATCCGCCGTCTACGGGATGACAAAAACTTTTAAGAGCCTCGGTAGATCACATTCACTGAAAGTGCTTGGAGGATCAGTGAGGTCCAGAGACCACTAGTCCACTTTTGCATTGTTTACTGAAATA